TATAACGGAGAAAATTAATAAGATATAAGAGCATGGAGCGTGACGATAGTCGCGCAAGTATATGATTTAATAATCAGTCGCGGTATGTTGTAAAACGATCAAATAATGAGACTACATTCCTCTCCTGCCGCGATAGACAAAAAAAAAAAACGAAAAGGACGAGCGTTATCTATTTGCCAGCGCGGATACATCTCGTTCCGGCATGCAAATCCCGAGGAGTCTTTCTCACGTTGCGTCCCTCGGAAGAGCGCGAGCTTTTTTTCCTCCTCGTGCCCGGAAGGTTCCCGTGTACTATTTAAATAACGGTTCTCGCGCGCGTGTCATTGTTTCACCGCTCGTTCTTTCTCAGCGAGTAACCCTTCTGGTTACTGGGGAAAGGGCAGAGGGAGGGTGGGGTGGGGTTGTTCTGTTTCGAATCGAGGAAGAAAACGAAAGGGCGGATGGCGCGCGGAGTGAGGAGGGAAAGGGGGTCAAGTTCCGTGCCGGATAGCCGTTATGGCAAAGACAGAATTACGACGTCTCAAGACGAGGGGTGTCCTTTCCCTCCCCCTCCCGTTTTACCTCCCCTTTCGCTAGCTCGTCCCGAGCGGATCGTCACGGAGTTTCTTGGCTTTTCTGTAATTTTCTATGATTTTCGGATCGCATGATCGACAACAATAAACGCGCGCGCATCCGCGGCCTCTTTGAAATCGGTTTAATCGAATGAGTTCGATCGCTCGCAAAAGTCGGTGAATCTATGATAGAACGGCGGATGATAATGGCGGTGAAGATTCGTTTCTGAAATTTAATTTTCTCGGCGAAGAGGAACGTTTCTCCCGTGTGCGAAAACGACGCCTAAAAATAACGGAAGTAACTTCGAGACACCTCATTCGCGAGCGCAACTAAATAAAAAAAAATATATATATAAAATTAGAAAAAAAAATGGCGTGTAAGAACAAAATACAAAATGCATCTATTAGCGATATAATACTAACGGTAGTGCTCACAAAAGACTCGGAATCTTCACTAGTTTGAAGAGATACGCGCAGCCCTTAATGACTTCCTATTCCATTTCATTCCGTTTCCGAAACCGCGTGGCATCAAAGATTATAGTTCGCGGTCGCAAATGACATGTCAAAATTGCATCTGACCGGTCACAAAGAGTCATTTACAATAGTGAAAGGTGGAAGACGCGCGTTGCGACGAATGCGAGAAAGAGAGAGCCCTCGACGACGTGCACACGATTCTTTCCTCTCTCACTTTTCTCCCCGCTTTGCCCCATCTTTCGTATGCGGCTTCGTGACCTACCCCAAACAAACCACGAGAAAAAGGGGGAAGAGAAGCGGCGGTGCGACGGCGTGGCCGCGGGGGCAG